GGCTACGGATACCGCTGTGAAGATTTGCTGCGAATCTTGTGTGTATATTTAACACACAACTTTTATCCGTATACTTGAGGTCAGCATCTCGTTCCGGCCACCAGCATGACAAGCCTGCAAGAGATTGCATTTAATCAGCACCCAAATGAACAGAGTGCAATTCTCCAAGACCCGCCGTTGGCTCAGTCGGTGGAATAATAACTCTATCCTCCAAGCACAACGAACCATCCGGAGTAATGGACAAACTTCTGCGGTGACCGGACAGTGCAGGAAGTCGATGTAGCTGTTGCTGTGTCCAGCCACGTCACAGAGCAGCAACAAGCGCATCCCGCTTGACTGCTAATGGCTGGATCAATAAACAATCTGAACTGTTTGAATCAGAGTCGCATGATGGAGTTCTTGACAAGAAATCGGCATGGGAAATCATCTTTGCACTGCGATGAACAATCATGCAGGTATACGAACTGGTTGCAATAATATACCGTCGCACCGTAGCAGCAAATGACTTCGCTAGAGACTTTGTAGGATGATACAAGAACTTTAGGGCATCCTGATCAGTAGCAGTGATAAAGTTTGTTCGCAAAAGATACTGATGAAGCCTTTTTACAGCCCGATATTCCGAAGGTGCTTCCCGCGAAGTTTGAGAATACCCATGTTCGGCTTTCGAGAGTCGACGGGAAATGCAGATCACTGGTGTGCCAGACTTTTCAAGGATTGCTCCTATTCCAGGGGGAGGCAGCAAAAATGATGGTCGAATGACGTTTAGCGAAAAATGGTTTAAAAATTGCTGAAGTTTGAAGATGACAGAGCAATGCACACAACGTCTTTTCATGGTTGGAGGACCAAGGAAATTGGTTGGCAGATATAACGTCAAACAGGCATATTTGGCAAAATTTGGAATTAACGAGACTAATACTAAAGTACTCCAGAACAGAAAGCACTGCTTTTAGATTAGTTGGTAATGACGCATTTACCAAAGGAGACGGTTTGTATCTGGATTAAAACCACTGCCATCCACAATGTAGTCACGGCGTGAAAATGATGGAACACCGAAAGTGCATTTACCAGGAGGAACTGCGAAAATCGCTTTAGTAAAGACATTAGACTCATATCATGAATAGTTTTATTAGCAGCGTGCACTATGGCATCATCCTGGCACGTCTCAAAAGCCCTGAAATCTTTTGTGATAGTATTCAAAACTTACTGAAATAAAGCTGTTGAAACATGTAGACCAAAGGAAAGGAGACTGTGCTGCTCACAGTCCGATAACTAGAGGGTTCGTCCGGTGGTATATGAAGATAGACATTGTTCAGATCCATTTTTGAAAACATACTTAAACCTGATAAACGATAAATTATATCTTTGGCTTTCCTCTAGCAACAGTGTATTTAACGTCGGTCGGTAGTCTCCACGGATTCTCGGGGTAATATAATAGGTCTCTAGTGGGGCGATTATCGCAGTTGCACGTGCTTCTTTTTTTCTGCGTTTAATCTCTGTTTGACTGATTCTATGTGCCAAACGAAGTGAAACATCACTTGTAATTCGCTCGATGATTCGGAACTATACAACCTGAATTGACCAGCATTGATGGGTTGGGACCGATGACTTTTGGTAAAGGTAGATACTAATGATGAGACATAGAAGTAGTATGTTTTCTCGTAAATCCGCCCCGCGTCAATTGAATTTGCCGAATTGCTTCGTATTTGAGTATTGGTCAGTGCATATCCAGGAAAGTTCAGGAAGAAGCATTCGACAAGAAGACGGATATTCAGTTTTTATAAACAAGATGCATATGAGAATTTCGCCTCCCAGTCTAATAATAGCCCTTAACTGCATATCTGGTGTTTTCTCATCAACAGTTCCGCAGCGAAGGCATCCATCCTTTCATTGGTAGCTTGTGGTGCGAGTGGATCCAGCATTGAAGGCGCTTCTGAAACAGGACGAGTGTACTCGTGTACCGGGAACTAACAGAAAATGTCTGTCTTGTCGGAAGACCCAGCCGCATTGTGAATGTATTGGTCAGCTTGATCCGTATTTGGGAGACAAGAAATTGTCGTTTGTATGGTGGCTGTTGCAAGCAGTCAGTTGTCCCACGAAGGGTGCGCGTTTTGCAACACAATGGTACGGCGAAATATATTTTTGTCTGCTTTTGCAACTAAAGTGTTTTGCGCAGCAACGGAATTCCGAAGCTGGATTTTCAGCTCCAATATGGATCAACCTGGCCGTGACAACTCGCTTCGGAGATTGTATCAATGATTGGATCACAATTAATTCGCGGCTGCAAACTCAGTATGAGCATCGTAGACGTCAACATCAGGTTTGACACTGATTGTTTTTACTAGCGTGCACCCACATGTCTTGTCTAATTATGTTGAAGGTGGTAGATGGAAACTTGTCCTGGCCTATCACAGGTATTTCGACATATCTGTAACCCTAACTGCCGTTCAATCAGACAACCTGAATAAAGTGGGGCAGGGTTGCCCCTGACATCGCTCAGCCGACAATTCTTGTTTGGTCCTCGGCCAAGCGCGGCGGGAGCACCGGGAATCCATCCTGGGAATCGCCCCGCATTGCTAAACACCCAAATCACTCCCGTCTCTTTCAGACCCCTTTGCCAAGTCATACGTTGGCCAACTCGTACGTTGCGTCATTCCAAACGAGGCACGGAACACAAAACACATCGCCTGGGCGGCGTTTCAGCATGTGTAGCTCACTGTCGAGCCCCTGGATTTTGTTGCGCTCAACACCATCCTTATTATGGCCAGTTACAACCAATGCCTAATACCCTGTAGTATACCATTTTGACGCAAGAGGTTACGCAAATTAGCGAACGCGCTTCTTGCACTTGATTCTTTGGCACTCACCTATACAGGCACATATCCGTTATAGCCATTTGGGACCACTGAGGCTCTTAACCTTCCCACTGCATCCTGATAGTCTCACTGAAACGTAAGTTGTTTTTTCACCGACCGCATCTTCAGAAACAGGACTTCACACTTTGGAGATGTAATGCGCATGTCATGGAATCTCGATGGTCAGTTTGTTCAGCAGGGCNTCAGGCCAGGCATGTGCACGATACCGCTTGCGAAGTCCGGATCAGCCAGGCTCTCACCAGCCATAACTGGAACACGGAACTTTAAAGACCTTTGAGCATTCGCATCAATTCCTCATCGGTGACAATTTTCACCAGGGGCACACTGGATACACAAGATCAACAGACACCACTTTGATTCTGGAAGCGTTGAGGGACCTCATCATGCACACATACACACACCCAGAAACAGGTAAATGTAGGGACCGATAACCTGCACAAACCTGTGTGGCCTGTCTTCCGAACAAGTGTGGTTAAGATCACTTGTGAATCATTAGACTCGAACACATGGCTTGAGTGGAGGAACACAGAGGTTGTTGGTCGTCCGTGCATATCGCACCCGAGTGAGTGTGAAGATGTGGTCAACACAGGAAGACTGATGGCTTCAGTCTGACTCGGGTAAGCAGACTTAGTGAACAGAATGCAGGGACATCACTCTGTCGAGACAATTTCGCAGAAATTGTCGAACGAATCACGCATAATTGAATAGCAGAGTATATGCAGTCAAGAAGAATCACCCGACACTCTACGGATGCATGCTGCGATAGTCAAATATGGATGCAGAGCTCTAGCAGCAGACGGATCAACGGAGTTGCGCAGCCGAAGTCTTCAGTATAGCGAGAGGCAGCCAGTTTGGTTAAATTACTTGTGTGCTTCACTTGTGTGATACAGAGGGACAGCCTACATCAATAGAGAGGATTTCGGGAATGCAATCGAATCCCGCATGTTGCAACGCTTGATTCAATGTGAGAACATCACAAAGAGGTAAGTAGATTGGTTTTGGGATTGGAAAGTAGAATTTGTTCCCTTTTTTTAATTCCTACGGAGGTCGACCGCCCGGTAGCTACAGCTATGTGTGGCGCACGGCGAACTATAACTGCCCCAATGCTGGGAATACCGCGGAGACCGGCCGAAATGGGGTGAGTTGGGTGGTGTGACGCGGCAGGGCATGGGTTGGTGTGGCTTCGTGTGGTACGGTTTAGTGTGGTGCGTCGTAGTGTGGTGTGGTGTGGTATGGTATGGTGTGGTGTTGTGTGTGGTGAAACAGAACAGGGAATGCGTGAAATTCGCGACGTGAAATGTGTGGAGACCGGCCGAAATGGGGTGAGTTGGGTGGTGTGACGCGGCAGGTCTTGCGTTGGCGTGGCTTCGTGTGGTGTGTCGTAGTATGGTGTGGTGTTGTGTGTGGTGAAACAGAACAGGGAATGCGTGAAATTCGCGACGTGAAATGTGTGAGCACTCGCATGCCTCATCTGCCGCCCAGCTGTATACGGCAAGTGAGTCATCTCGATCGGTGACGTCGCCCAACGGTCGATGTGGCATGGGAATATTAATTGCTGCAATCATCATAGTTCTGCGTGAACTGGGACGATACCGGGGAGTCCGCAGCTACACATGAGGACAATAAGAATGATTGACCAAGGTTGAAATTGGAATGGAACGGTCGTTTGACTTTAGTTCAGCTATTTTACCCAACACACTGATTAACGCAAAATCAAGCACTCACACACGGGGATAAAAACACTATCCCCAACACCATGAGAGACAACATCGTGTGGTGTGAGGCAATGGTCGGCTGGATGAAGCTGTAGATGCAATCCAAAATGGCTAGGGAATTTGACAAGCTACCAGATATAAGGAGTGACGGCACAAGAAACAACGCGATCATGGGACATATTCATATCATCATGATATTTCGGTGCGTGTTTCACTCTCCCCCGCTTCGCAGTCCCCAAACCTCCGTTCGATGTGGTAGTTGATAAGGCAGCTGACGCGGATCAAGTGTCCGTGTCATGGCGATACACAGCGAATTGTGCCGCAACCAAATTTATCCTAGCTGTATACAACAACGCTGGTCAGCATATTACCCCGAACATCGAAACTGAGGCACATTGACGGACCTGCCGACATGTGTCCCTGGTTGTTGGTGTGCGTGGACACAATTCGGTTGGGGATGGTGAGGAATCGAGGAAAGATTTCATACTCTCAACAGGTAGGTTAAAATAAATTAGCGATTCCATCAGAGCGCCATCAGTGCGCTTGTCAAGTCTACCCTTGTTAATATGTTGTCCTCTCATCTTTCGCCTACATCGTTTAATGGTATTTCCACACTGGTGTACTCGCTTGTCACGTTTGTTTGTAGAACTCGAAGGAATTCTTTAGGCTACCATGTCCCTAACACTTGTTCCAGTTACCAAGGTGGTCGCCTACATCACCGACGCTACCGCTACCCACACAGCGCTTCCTCTTGTTTGGTATGATTCACGAAACTTGAGTCTAACTCAATATGCCATTCTGGAATAACCCAGCAGCCGGTAATTGTAACTGACTTATGCCACACATGGTTTTCAAAACACAAATTGCTGATTCGGTCCAGTCAAAAGACATAACTAACACACGGTAGGATCAGTTATCGATTTCACAAATGCAAACCATCTTCAACGCGTGTATCTGACACATCAGCCACGCATTGTTCACGGTAGTCGGTCAATATTCACGCACACCGTCCTCATTGCTGCCGCCTGGACACGTGACCCACACGTGATCCACACTCGTTTCTTATAACGGGTCTACGCTCGGCAAACGTGTACGCGCAGAGTTCCCGGTAAGCACTGAGTCTCAGAAATTCGCCGCGATAATTCAAAACCCCAAACTGCACTTCCTGAATTGACCGGGTTTGCTAACGCTGGGCTAGCTAATCACTGACAGCCCGTAGTGCACATGAACTAATCACTGTGTATCTCTGAGGAGCACGAGAATGAACATCAGCCGGGCTGGGCACCAGAAGCCATGCCCAACAATACCTTGGGATTCCTGTGACTGACCCACTTGAGTCGCCAATGTAGTGGGATCAAGTCCTGCTCAGTTTGATCATTGGGTTGCGCCCGGAAAATTGTCCCATATGCTGGCTAGTCGAAGCGACAATGTGTCTTACTTGGGGCGATAAGTAGGGTTCAATTTCCTCAAGTAATTCACTCGGAGAGCACACGGTTGATTGTCTCTGTTGAATAACTAACCAGATGTTTTAGCAACGAACACACATGCCAGACACGCTGTCCTCAACACGGCGAAACCCGAATTCGTGGGCGATATACGCTCGTGCAAACTTCCATTCTCCTACATCGAACGGTGCCCAAACAATGGAGATGTGCGGACGAATCCGGTTGAATTTCACGCATTTCCCACAGTTCATTCTATATAAAGTAAGATGGCAATGGATTGTCATACAATGTTCTCATCCAACTAATCTCAACGTCCAATTCTTCTGATACATAGTCCTCGAAAGTCCGGTCGAATTGATCGTTAACGGGAATCTCGGTGTGAGTGAGGTGGCCGTGTCATGGAAGTACACATCCGACTGTGTGGCAAGCAGATTCATTGTCACAGTGTACAACAGAACACTTAGCCCTATCATCGCGAACATCGAAACTGCTGCGCATCAAACCACAGTGACGGGCTTCCCGATATGTGTGCCTCTGGTTATTGGCGTGCGGGGATGCAATGATGTTGGGGACGGTGTGGAGGCGAGAAAGGAATTTAGCATCTCAAGAGGTGAGTTCATTTCTGCTTACCAGCTGTTCGAATGAATATCGTGTGGCCAGATGCGATTGTGAGAATGAATAGTCTAGTGTGTGTTGTGTGGGACTATTGAACTTCCAGTCACACTGCCCCCCACCCCTAACCCCGCATTGCCATCAGATATGTCTACAAATGCTGGTGGGTGCGACTAGATTATTGATGCGGCTTTGTGCCGGGCATCGGCATGATTTGCGTGGTGCGCATAAGTGGGGACGATAGAAAAATTGGTCCCTATCATTTACATCACATCACATCATATCACATCACATCACACCACATCACGTACAAACGAGCCGAGCCATGTTCCGCGCGATATAGCATGATCCGCTTTGACTGAGTCTTCAAGAATCGTGTGCGAATACGATCTGTTGTATAAAGCCAATAAGTTCTGGCAGCTCATACGAGAAGCCCTATCATGAAGTAGAAAACAGTTAAATACTTTCGACGGTGCGAGCAGCTCGCCTGCGTGTTTGGTGTAAGTGGGTGTAGCCCGCGGTTGAACGGTCTCACCAGATGCACAGGCGATGTTTTATTGCAGTTGCCAACGGACGGTTGGGCTGATCGCATGACCGAGCAGCGGATGCTTTCCACAATGTGTTCCAACATGACTGGAAGTGCAGAAGCTGGTAAAGTGGAATATGCGAGAGTAAGTTTTGTGAATCTGTGGTGTGCACAATGCAGCGCGACTGGCTAGATGGTTGGGGTAGCGGAAACCCCAGGAGAAGCGTGTCACCATATATGCTGCAACAAACGGCAAAATAAGAGAAAAACTCCGGCCAGTGTTTTGACGCACGCATAAGTGGGACGCGTTCATAAACCGTGTCTTCATTTAGTCTCTGAACCCTCTCCACACAATTTTCGATGTGGTTTAGCGTATTTTTCGCCTAATGCGCCCAGATTTGTCCAGTGCATGGCCTTACTTTTCTGTCTTGCTCTTTTTGCGGGGACATGTTTTGCTCGTTTCAAGCAGGGTCACGGCGTTCACGCTGCCTGTCCGCACGAGCGCGGTACTTCACAAATGATTAAAGCTCAATGTGTTGCCGTGACCCACTACCATCTTGAACTAATCGTCCCTTTCCACCGGCGTGTCTATTTCTTAGTGTCTCGTTTGAATGCCGTGCCACATATATTCATCAGGCGTCTCGGGATGTACCGACTTCGTATGCTTACATCAACGTGTCCAAACCGGTTGTTTGTGGGCGATATGTCCTGCTACAACGTCCCAACGTCTTACATTGAACGGTGCCCAAACATTTGAATGGAACTGCGTTCAATTTCCGCAGTTCGTTCTACATTAAGTAGGAGTGCAATTGAATGTCGTACGATTTTCTCATGCATCCATTCGCAAATCTTCATTCGTCCGATATGAACTTCGGGATATTCCCTTCGAAGTGCTGGTGGACGCGGTTTGTAATGTGGTTGAGATGACCTTGTCTTGTACCTACACACTGGATTGTGTGGTGATCACGTTTATCCTCCTGGTCTATGATATCGACCTTAACCAGATTATCCCAAATATTGGAACAGCTGCACATCAAGCGCTTTGACGAACTTCTCGATAGGTGTGTCGCTTGCTATTGACGTGCGGGGACGCAATGATATTGGGGATGGTGTGGAGGCAAGGAGGGAACTCTCCATCTCTTATACATCGAATGAACATCTTGTGGAAGGATGCGCATTTGGGAAAGAAAGGTGTTTGTTTTTTTCCTCCAGTTTTAATCCAGTACTTTCTGTCAGCTTGTCTCATAATGTGCACCAGCAATTAGAGCATTGTTGTCATTGTCTTTGCGTGTAGACGCATTCTATGAAGATCCATATTTACGTTTTTTTTTTGGACATATATTCGATGCGAAAAGCTAAATAATAATGACGTTAATCCAAAGCTGATATGTTGCATACCTTCATGTGTTATCGTGACGTATCTTAGACACAGTGCTTTCCGGAATACTCCTACTCCACTTCTGGACCTTGTGTATCAGGTACTTCGAAATTACTGAGAATTCTTCATATTGGTAGAGGCAGTCATGATTCACTAGAGCAAACTTAGCCATTGAGCGTGTAGAATCATCATCCTATGATATTGGTTGAGAATGTTCAGAGAGATGCAACCAAAAAAAAACTCTAATGAGTCCACAGTTTCAGGCATGCTGAAATATACTTGTGGTTTCTCTGAGACCGAGTCCTACTTTGCTCTCATAAGCAGTGCCACTGGCTGCTGGGCATACGAATGAGTAATAGTATCCCTGCTCCCTTTCTGTAGTTCAAATTTTGCCCGAGTTTTGTCGCGTTACTCATTGTGCGGGTATACACGCGAGTTTATGTTGTTTATAAAACCGATTCTTTGTTTCACTCAGGTTTTAAACATTCGCATTTTCTATTTCGCTGGTGCTCTGAACCAACACTCTGTAACACCTGGAGGCGCTGCCACCGTCTCCCGCTGTTGATGCCAACCAAAGTCGCACGCTATCTCTGGATGGCCATATGCTCCGCTGTAATCGTTGCACTGGCATGGTCATACGCACAGTTAATTACTTTGTCTGATTCTTTTTTGCCCTCTCGCATGTTGTGACCGATTTGGTTCGTCGTAATTTATGGACACATTACGATGATCCAGTCCCATTAGTAGTCGAGGCGGTGTGGAACACCACTGCTCAAAATGGGGAGCCTGCGCGTTGGAAACTAAAATACATTTCAACCCATCCACAGTCCAAGAGTGGTTGAAGACGCGTGTTGGAATGCATAAGGTGTACGGACTAAACGACTAAGCCAGGTTATTTCTTTAAGACCTTTGTCAGGGTTTTTGGATATGATGATAAACGTTTTACACCCATAAATCTCCGGCAGTCGACCCGGCGTGACGTTGAACCTTTGGAACATCGGGGCAATATTCCACCCTAAGCTGTCATTCAGACTTCAGTCAACGTATCTTTGGAGCCTTACCAGCACCGCACAACAATTTCTCCCCTTACGAGTAGCTAGTGAGAATTGCGTTTAATCAACATTTGCTTTTGGTCAGAGGGCACTGTTTGATAAGAATACTAGCAGCACTGAGTCCATCAATTCCAACCTCCTGGTTTGCGAAGTGGCGCTTGGTATACAGTTCCTTTCAACTACCCTGACCTTCAGGGGCTTTGACGAAGTCCGTAAGGATCAAAGGTCCTCCTAACAATTCTAGCCTCCTGGCGAGTTCCTCTTAAATTTCGCCTAGCTGCTGTAACCAATATGCATCTAAAATTGCACCTTCTCGAGCGCATCGCGGTATTTTGTGATCTGAGGCCTTATTTGAGAAGAAGGATCGTTTTTTGAACTCAAGTATGGTTGCATTCTGCTATTAAACTCACCCTCATGCCCGCTTATTACAAACATGGCAGAAGGCATTTGTAGTAAAATTAGGCCGGAAAAACACATCTATTACTCTACCACGCAAACCAAGCAATTCTAACTGCTAAGCCTCGGGTGACAGCCAACAGAACGTTTAGTCGACTCGGCTTGAACATATGAAGCTACTGGGGAAGGCAACAGGCCAAAGCTTTTAAGTAAATCGCTCACGTGAACTGATGCCTCACAACTGTCCCCCACCTGAGAGCGTACGGTTACCGAGCCTACTTATCTACCGGCTTGCTCAATCGCGCGTTAGATATATTGGTGGAGAGCTTGGCCTTTGTGCTTAGAGGAACATTCATATCTTCAAGTGGGTCAGTGACCTGTTTTAGCCAAGAAAAACTTCAAACAGTTAATGTAGTGAAACAAAGTGGCAAACTGACAGTTTGTTTGAGTGGTATCCATGAGTCACCTAAAGTCGCGCGCACCGTCGTACAGCTGTCGATATGCACATGCGCGTGCTCTGCCACTAGTGATGTCTTCCGGCAAATTGATGCTGACAGGCATGAACTCAAGGATTTTCCGAAAGAGAAATGACAATCAGGCATCTACTGAGCACATGTATATTGTTCTCTAGAGTTTGCTTTCTAGCCCTAATGGGATCTAATTATTTCACGATTTCGTGCAACTTGTGATGGGAATAAGTTGCTTTTAGTACTCAAAAATAACTGAATCCATATTGCCTTACTGAAGTCAAGATTTCCAAGACAAATTAAGTGCGCACATGGTGGCGGTCAAATTGCCGGCACCTACAGGGGACAGAGCAAACTCTGTTTCTCGCATCTGGAAGCCACGGCAATCTTGCTCGGACACAGTTATAGTATCCACGTCGACTCTCTCAGTTCCGAAGAGCGACATATGGGCTTGTTTGGGATACTGTGTGGAGAGTGTGCTCGCTCTGAAAATGGTTAGGGTGGTCACCTACTCAATAATGGTGGGAGCAGAGATAAGCCTCAAACTTTTTGATAAATCTCTACTCAAAATTACCCCTTTTTAATGAAGCCCATGTGCCTCTAAAAGAAAACACTGAAATGCACTTTGCGAACCCACAGTAAAATTTTTTGAGTCGCTGATGAAACCAACTTGAATAAACTACATTTTCGAAAAATTGGACATCGTGTTTATGCATGAGTTCGTTTATAGCCTCAGTCAACCGGCCTGCTCCACCGCAAATTCTCTCACTGGAGGCCAATAGGGGAAAGCGAATTGCGACCGTGAGCTAGACAGTCAGTCCAATGGCAACACAGTACTTGGTACCCTTTTACGTGGGGACAGATGTGAGGTGCACAACTGCAACAAATTCACTACAACTGACTTTCGGCAATTTACCGCTATTCAAGCCACTTCGTGTGGGAGTGTCGGCAAGCAACGAGGCGTGCCTCAGTAACGAGTCACTTAGTTCCGAGTTCTACATCTCTGCAGGTATACCTTCGGTAACAAACAGAGGCTGTTATAAGAGCCTCTGTTTGTTACCGGTAAATTTGTGCATATTTCGCCTACTCGGCAAGTAAAATGGTAAATAAAATAATTTAGCAATTTGCAAACAACATAGTTGAATCCTATATTCTGGCTATTTTTTCAACAAGTCTCGAAGCTTCATCAGGAGCTTTACTATCACTCAGAAACAGTGCAGGTTATACGAGTTACTATTCTTTCTTAAATTTGTGCTCTGATGATTTGGTGTTTATAACGTAGCCTGCTGCTAGGGGACGGCGGATCAGAAGTTCTCAGGGTTTTCTGTGCAACTACTGGTCCGTTAGTTGTTAAAAAAATTTCTACTAATGAGTAAACGAAAATCTTCCATCTAACTAATCATCCCTGGTTATGAAAATCATTTAAGTGCCAATTCACGCTTCACCAACACACCGCGCAATGTAGACACACAACTGATAAATTCGAACAAAGAAAGGTGCGGTCTGGAGATCAGTTTGACGACATAACCTGAATAAATGCCTGAAGATGATGACGGGTGCTGGAAGCCGAATGGCACACGTCTGCGGCGACCCAATTTTGTTGAATTTGAGATGCAGAGCCATTCGGATCCGGTGTGAGGTTCCTATCACACCTTGTGCATCCTTGGTGGTTCTTTTATTGAATAATCCACTGTTGAAAAAACAGGACCGATGCTAAACTAAGATATTGGGGTCATTAAAATTGGCAGGCTGGGACTCAAGATACCTGTTGGATTTAGTCAGCTCTGAGAATTGTTGCAACGGCAACGAAAGAAGTTTAACTAACAATAACTAGACCGCAGCGAATCACTGACTCAGAGACCGCATGGCCGCATGACTGAGGATGTGACTTGAAGTTATGTCTACTCGTCTCTAAGACGATCTCAAATTGGACGGGTCTACTTGAGGTGAGTCAGTATCGGTGGGCCCAGTGTTCCCTTAGCCGGTCTGGTCACAGCCCCAATAAAAAAGCTGATATTTAAGCCCATTTCTCATAGTACATTTAGCTCCGGGTTTGGGCGGGCAAAAAACTTGTTCCAAACTGATTTTTCATGTTCACCGACTGATGGGATGTCAGACTGATGCCGCATAACTTTTGCACACTGGAGAATGAACGGTGTAGAAACTTCGCTCGTTTCAAGCAGCGCGGGGACCGCATTTTTGAGGAATAGTCGGAAAGCTCCTGAAAATATTCAATTATTGAACGATGCTGTTCAGCATTCGTTACCCTTCTTTCAAGCTGGCCAAGGTGGGACGGCGACGATTTCTATCACCTTTTCTGATGTTGTCAGTCGGGAATGCAGGTAATTCAAGCTAAGCTGAATGAAAGAGCACTAGCTTAAACACCTCACTCTACTATCCTGCAATAACTCGTCCGAAGCTGCAGACGAAAGAACTGTGCTGCCTTACAAAATCAACCGGGACGCGTTACAGAGCGCAACCATCGAAATCCATTGCCAAATCAACCTACAGCAGTACACGGTCAGTCACATTCTCACTCAAGCGGCTAAATCAGAATGGAGTCAGGGGGCAAGCCCTCTTGAAGGCAGTGGTATCTCGGTGACTAGTAGTTCGTTTGTTATCGAAGGTTTGAGCGGCACAAATGTTCCAAGGGGAATCATCGCGGTCACAGAGGACTTATGACGATCCCACCTGCCGCACTCGCCATTGCACTACCGTGCAGTTAATAAATCGCTATCCAACTCGTAGGTGTCAGAGTTCTAAGTTGATTTTACTTGCCTAGGTTTCAGAATGACAACAATCAGTTTGTTGGCAATTACATACGACTTCCGACGACATCCTATTCAGTAAATAAGCACTTACGAATTGATAAAACTCGCATGAAGTTGATTGGCTCATTGGCTTGCATTGTTTTTAGAAGTAGGCTGAAACTTACTGGCGACGGTGTTTGAAACTTAACCTTCAGTAGCTAAAAGCTATAAGCCTCAGGCTACCTGATTTCGTGCATTAGGCTTGATCTCATTGGGCTAGATTAGATCGGTGCGGTGAATTCGTAGCGGAAGCTCATCAGTTCTACTTGTGGCTCCGCGTGCATAGCTCATGGAGGTGCCCTTGAGCAAGCTAGCTTCTAAGGCTTTCACGCGATCACTTTCTACAAAGCTGTCCACCCAAATTCAACATCGGTCCTGGGAAATGTACGTAATAAAAGACCAAGCTGGGTATTATCCCATTAATGAACCGACTTTCCGGCCGAAACACCCTATGTCACATAAAGCCTTGCCCTTTGCTCACCCGGAACTGGGAAGCCTACAGGAGGCTGGCATGCATTAGCTGACTAGCCACTCAAAATACACACCAGATATCTTGATGCTAAGGGCTAACAAAGCAGTTGTACCCCCAGCCAACCCGAAAATCAGTGAAGGTGAGTGTTTTGGTAGAGCTGATCCGACCGAATTTTACCCGTATTCTGAAGTTGAGGAGAAATCCCAGGAAATCTCAACCAATACACACTTTCGTCTGCTGCAGTACAGTCGCCCGTTTGTTGTCAGAACAGTGCCAGCGATGCTGCAGCAATCCCTTGATGTCACTGCTTGTGTGAAGCAAAGGTTATAATCCTGACGAATTGTGCCAGGTCTTTAATTAGGCGCCTCGTCGTACTCAGGAATATGGCTCCAGTGTGCGCTAAGAAAAACACGGCTGACAATGTGTCTCAATTTCATAAATGATGAAGACGACTAACAAATATGCCCGTAGAAAATCAACGCTATCAGTTTCAGGCAATCAGCAGCAAATGTCACATTCCACGGACTAGTCAGACGCTACAGCAGGGCCCACGTGAACATCTACTCACCAAGGACCATAGGCGGGCATGGTCTAAAACATATCCACACGCCTTTGACTCTGTCAATAACCTTCTGAGTACCAATTTTGTTTTTGCTCACTATAACTTACCAGTCGAAATCGGTGTGCAGTCGAATGCTTCAAATCCTTGTTTTGGTGCAGTGATTTCGCGCGTTTTCTTCTCCAGACAGTCACTACACACGCAGTCAGATGTCTTTCACTAGCAAGGCGCAGCCACAGTCAAGTAGAAGAAGCTTCAACATCACACATGAGTAAAAGCTCCACGGGATGCTCTAGGACCATCAGTTTACCTTATTGACCCAGCACAAGCCACCTCCTACTGCCTTCTGGCCCGAAGAAGGAAGTTCCGGTTGCTACGGCTAATCCCCTCCTTTGATCAGCCACAATGTTCCTATGATGCAAATTCACATTCAAGTGTAATTCCAACGCCAGCCTTCTGCAGGCCGATGAACTGCGGCGTCTCAGCTAGTAAAGCAGATTAGGTCCGGAACTCATCTTAGTCGCAACACCTTCCCCGGAGCCGGAGGTCATCCACCTAGTTCAGGAAGCAGTTCGCACGCCCTCGTTCACAGCTGACATAGCCCTCTGGGCTGCTAACCAAGATTTCATGGTGCAACGAGCCATCAAGTGACACCGCAACCAATGGTTTACAACTTCTTCACAAGGGAATTCGAGATCATAATTCAGTCGGCGTAAGACCATATCAATAGTTGACGGATACATCTCATTGCCCGTGATCGTCGTCATTACAAAGGAGAAGCAGCCAGCCATACTGAGGCGGTCATACAAATGGAACGCTTGGGGGATGTGGCTCGAAGTTATGTCTACTGGTCACTAAGACGATCTCAAATTGGACGGGTCTACAAATCTTGCTTTCAATACAACAGAGTAACAAATTCACCCTTGAGAACATACCTATGGCAGCGTCCGCAACCGACCGAAATCTGATCTTCTATTCAAACTGACTGAGCAGATGCAGTTAATAGTCAACACACTTTGGCCGTAGTTGACGCTTAGAGCACGCCAGTTAACTATGCAATCCTGGAACTTCGATGGTTATTTATTAGACTGGACAAGCGTTCTACAGTCAGAGTCGGCGAAATTCCTCGACGTCCGACCAGCTTTGTCAAGAGTACGCTACGACCAGATATCTCTCGCCGCTTCTTCATTCGTAGTCAAATAGCCAGGCAAAACGCGTCGAAAAGCTTTGTGGCGATCACTCGAATTGTACTTGCAAGGGAGAATTTTTGTTGAACAGTAAGATGATCTTACTACGAAAGACGTGGATCGGAGACGGATTACCATTACCGCTACCGTCAAGCTAATTTTCGAACACGGCGTCGTTGCTTAGCACAAAATTCTGCGGGTGCGTACTGGTATATATTATTACTTTGTTGATTCTCTTCGGCAATGTTATTGATGTGTTGCTTTAAATTTATCTGCTGGTCTGCAGATACTCGGTACTACACTACTGGGCTCAGCTTCTTCAAGAAGCGCAAGACATTTTAAATAACCTAAGCAACTTTGCCGCACGATAATACATGCGCGTCACACTGGAAAGATGCAGGGTTCTGACGCAAGCCTGGGTATGATCAAGCCCAAACTTCATGGTCGAGTAAGTTGCAGTATTCATTTCGAGGAAATTCCCTAATTTGGAAGCTGCTTGTATTCCGCTGACTGGCTGAAGTTGAGATTATTTCTCGAATTGGGCAGACCATGGCAGCCTTCGACAACCTACGGGCTCAGACCATGGCAGCCTTCGACAACCTACGGTAACCGAGGGGCTGACCTGATATCAGGCTGCCTGTCAGAGGTAAAGTTTACACCGCGACATTGCTACCCAAACGGCTTTATGGACCTGAGGTGTTGTTTCAACATTCGAAGGATTTGAAAACTTGCAAAAGTTTGACAACTGTTGCCTCTGAAGCACCCCTGATGGATGATTAATT